ATGAGCACCAGGACACAGAGGCCAGGAGCACAGCCCTCCCTCGAGCAGACCTCGCAGATTAATAGAAAGCAGGGCATTCAAAACCAAGGGTGGACGTGCCAGAAGCAGCATCTCCGAGCCTCCCTAACCGCCACGCGCCGTGTCAGGGCCCACCCCCCGCAAGGGCATCCCACCTTGCCCACAGTGCGTCAAGGTGACCATCCCCCACGACCCCACTGTGCCCGAGCGCCGAGTTCGCTGGCCCAGGCTCACCGAGCCAGCAAATGGTAGCAGCTGGAGTCACACCGCGGCGCTGGTGCCGTGTGCAGTGGTCAGCCCTGGCCAGAGGGAGGGAGCAAATTCCTCCCAGATCCCGTTCCCGCCGCAGAGGCCAAATCCCACAATCCGCGGCAGCTGCTCCAACCCAAGAGGAGCCTCAAATTTAGGAGCTGAACGGTCAGGGAGCACCTCCCCCAAATCCACACTCAGACTCGACGGCTGAAAACAGGAGTAACGTCTCCTTTCCCAGGCACCCAGTCAAGACGGACCACCATCATCCCAGGCATCCCAGGCAGGACCCAGGCAGGACTGCGCCTGAGGGGGCCTCCAGAGAAGTTCCCTCCACCAAGACACCGCCTTTTGCGTGGTGGGCACCTGGGCGAGCAAGGCTTCCCTCACTCCCAAGGGGATCCCACTCCCTAAAGTGTGGGTGTCCCCCAAACAGAAAGGCACACCACTGGATCCCTCCTCGAGAGGACTGTGGGGGGCGTACAGGAGGCAGCCAAGCCATGATTCTCTCTGATCATTGATATCTCTCTCTCTCTCTGTCTCTCTCTCTCTCCCCCCTCCCCTTTCCTCTCTGAAATCAATAAAAATGTATTTTTTAAAAAAATTGAAAGGGATGTCAGCCTCCCTATGACCCGGCTTTAAGGTTTTAAGGGTCACTTGCTCGCATCTCCACCTGGTTAACAGGCCCTGTGATCACTAACTAGGGCAGTGACGGCGAAACTATGACACAGTGTCAGAGGTGACATGCGAACTCATTTTTTTGGTTGATTTTTCTTTGTTAAAGGGCACTTAAATATATAAAATAAATATCAAAAATATAAGTCTTTGTTCTACTATGGTTGCAAATATCAAAAAATTTCTATATGTGACACGGCACCAGAGTTAAGTTAGGGTTTTTCAAAATGCTGGCACGCCGAGCTCACAAGGTTACTAGTTACTAGGGGCACAGACCAAAAAGCCCATCACTCGCGACCAGCTCCGAAGCCACAGAAGGTGGTTGGAGGCAAAGGGGTCCCCCCAGAAGAAGGCGGGGGGCAGGCACGACTCCCCAGAAGTGTGCGGCTAAAATACCAACACAGATTAAATGCCAGCCAGGGCTGGAACCCGAGATCAGTTACACGCCCATGGTCGAAGGTTCCCAGGTCCCCACGCCTCGCCTAGAAGTAGCCTGGCAGTCTACACTGCTCCCGTCGTCGCCCCTCCTTAGACTGAAGCAAAAAATAAGACTGTTTTCAAAAAAAAAGCACTCCACTCGCAGAGAAAGTTTTATTTAAATTTTGAACAGGAGACCGATGACTGAAATGAGACAAGGCAAATATTTTCTGCCCCAGAGTCCCTGCAAGGCTAGGTTGGTGGGACAGACGGGGTCTGTGCCACCAACTGCAAACACACAGAGAAGGCCTGGGCAGAATTCCGAGGACAAAGGTTCTTTTTTTTTTTTTTAATCCTCACCCGAGGATATTTTTTCCATTGCTTTTTTTATTTTTATTTTTTATTTTTTTTAGACGGAGTGGAAAGGATGGAGGAAGAGGAGGTGGGGAGAGAGAAAGAGAGAATTGAAGTAGGAAAGACACAGGGATTGGACGCTTCTCACACGTGGCCCTGGTCGAGGCACGGGGGACTGAACCTGCAACTGGGTTATGTGCCCTGGACTGGGAATCAAAACCACAACCCTCTGGTCCGGGGGCCAATACTCTAACCATTGAGCACCCGGCCAGGGCTAGGTCCTGGGTCTTATCGGATGGGTGGCCCAGAGTTCCCACAGCTGGGGGACGAGCAGATGTCTCTTTTCAGGCAGGAGTCTGGTCTCCACACATTGTCAAGTCTCAAACCAGCTGTAGCACCAACATCAAAAGGTTTGGACCGGCTCTTGGATTCTGGTTTCGTTCTTCTCTCCTGGTGGAGGCTGTTGCTGGGTCGTTGCTGCCCTCGGTCCCGTGCCTGGTGGCCACCGCCATGCCCAGCCCTGGACCAGCACCTGGCCTGAGCCTGCCCAGAGCCAGGCCCCTGGTCCACACACAAAAGGAATTTTTGGCTGCCCCCAAAATGGTACAGACCACATAAGATATGCAACGGACAACTTCAGGGATACACAACTTTTATTAAAACGCTGTTCTCATCACAATAAACATCCAGCAGATCAAACACATGACTTTGTGGAGATCCACGCTTCCTTCTGAAATAAATGTGTATTTGAGTATAAACAGAGAGTGGACAAAAGAAAATATTGATAATGGCCCAGGCGATTAAGGCCGAGCTCTGGACAGCTGAGAGCCTCCGGGCCAGTCCTAGAGCCTCCTAGTTCTGCAGCTGTGGCTGGGGCTGTGTGTGTGTTGGGGGGGTGGGGGGGGTGTCCTCTGGCCATTTCTGTTTCAGAGGCAGAAGCCCTGTGCAGAAGCAGAAAACTCACAGGACTAAAAAAATACCCAAAGCTTTGCTGGCCCCATGCCCCTGGGCAGTCAGTTGCCCCTCCGGTGCCTCAGTTTCCGCACTTGCAAAATGGGTGTCGGGGGCTCCGGAGGATTCAAAGCAGCAAGGCTGTGCGTGACCCCGTGTTCTAAACCGAAAGGCTGCAGAAGGACCAGCGGCCACGCTTCTCAGTTACACAAGCCGCTGGCCAGGGTGCAACGGGCTGCCCTCAGATCCCCTGTGATCTGGAGACCAGCCGGGCAGCCCTGGGGTTTCAAGGAGCCCCAATAAGACTCCCACGGTGTGTGCCGTCACCCCCAGTTCTGATTTGGGAGAGAAAAACCTCGCGTCTCCATCGTTCCTGGAAACACACTGGGTTTCAGGACTTTTCCTGAATAAATCCTCCCCTAGAGGACACTCCCCGCCCCCGGGAGCCAGAATGTCTTCTGCTCAGAGGAGCCTAGATTTACCCCACTTCCCTTTTAGAAAGAAAACGGGGGGGCTCCGGGTCCACCCCCGGGGAAGCCGGCCGCTTTGTGCTGGGAAGCCCAGCCGCGCCTGTTGCCGCGCGAACATGTGTTGCGAGTAAAAGTGCGCGCGGCGTCGAGCGAGCGGAGCGGGCAGGAGCTGGGGGCTGCAAACGCTGATTCAGCGCTTTCGGAAACAAAGTGTCCCGGCCCAGCTCGTAAACAGCGGCACCCAGAAAGTTGTGCAACGGCGCGTATTTACTCGCGAGCGCTGCTGGTTCTGGGTCTTTTCTTTGCATCTTGAATTAAACTGGGCACCCGGATGGCCAGGAAGCGTTCCTGGGAGTGCACGGGCCAGACCGAGCCGGGACCGGTCCCAGTCACCTGTGGCGCCCGCCCTGCCGTGCCCCACGCTTCCGTCCACGCAAAGGACAAAAAAGTTGGCGTTTCTTCCAATCCCCAGGGAGGACGGACACAATAAAAAGTAGCGAATACCCTCATTTCCATACGGCCCGTGCCGCGGGGCCTTCTCCGAGCGGCGTTCGGAGAGGCAATCAGCGAAGGAGGAGAGTTGCATCAGAAATTTCCTTCTGCAAACCGCACGGCTCTTATCACATTTCCACGGCTGGCGGGCGGCTAATCCGCGAGCCCTCCGAGTCCGGGTTAGGCCCCAGTGGCGGGTAACGGGGTCACTAACGG